GCTTGGGAAGTGGCCGAGCCTGCGATCCGAAATCGGAGGGGTGGGGGTCCCCTTCCCAAGCCTAAGCTTGGGGTGAAGGCTTCTGGCTTGGGAAGAGGCCGAGCCTGCAATCAAAGGTTATGGGGCGGGGGGGCAGGGTGGTGTGTGACAATCCCTTACCAAGCCTAAACCTGGGGCAGAAGCTTTAGGCTTGGGAAGGGGCCAAGCCTACAATCATAGGTGGGGGGAGGGAGGACCCCTTCCCAAGACTAAAGCCTGAGGCTGAGGCTTTAGGCTTGGGAAGGGGCCAAGCCTGTGATTGGAGGTTCTGGTAGGGAGTGGGGCTTCCCAAGCAAAAAGCCTGGGATGGAGGCTTTAAGCTTGGGGAGGTGCTGGGGGATGGGGGGAACCCCTTTACAAGCCTAAAGCCTGGGGGGAGGCTTTTGGCTTGGGAAGGGCCTGAACTTGGGATCGGAGGGAAGGGGAAAATATCAATGGAAACATATCCTCAGGTGAGGATAAAAACAAAAATAAAGAAATGTCATATCCACCCTAACTGGTTTGGCTCATTGGATAGAGTATCGGCCTGCAGACTCAAGGGTCCCAGGTTCAATTCCAGTCAAGGGCATGTACCTTGGTTATGGGCTAATACCCAGTAGGGAGTGTGCAGGAGGCAGCTGATCGATGTTCTTCTCTCATGGATATTTCTAACTCTCTATCCCTCTCCCTTCTTCTCTGTAAAAAAATCTATATATCTATAGATATATAGATATATATATATAATTTTTTTAAGAAAAAGAAATGTCATATCCTATGAAAGACACATCTTAAAAATGCTTAAAGAAAGTTGTCATTTTTTCATGGTGAAGGGATTGGAGTTCTTGTTGATGAAAATACCTTGGCGGCTATGGTGACTGGCAGTGGCTTCAGCAGTGGGGTGATGGGGCTGGCGCCTTCCCCTGATCAGCCTCAAGCAAAGGAAGTCCAGACTGCGGCTTGGGTCCACTCCCAATGGGGAGCGGGCTTAAGCCATCCGCAGGACATGCCCTGAGGGCTCCCAGTATGTCAGAAGTGGCAAGCTGGGCTGAGGGACCCCTCCTCAGTGCACGAATTTCATGTACTGGGCCCCTAGTTTTATATAATTTTGTTTGTTTAACTGGAGAAAACAAAGCAAATGACCATGCAAGTCTAAAGCTCAAAAATTGAGATGGAGGGAACTGATTGTTTAAATTAGTCAATTGTAAAATATTAGGCCTCATATGCAATAACTAAAGTTCAAATTTAAGAACACATCATAAGGCAGTTTCTATAATCTTCTATTATTTAAAACAAAGACAACCACAAAAATACATAGCTACCAGAATTACATTTGAATAAGCAACAACAATCAATATAGTAGGTTTGTATCCGCAATCTGAATTTTCTATTTAGCTTATGTTTTCTAATCCTATTTTTAAATTTTCATTTGAATTAATGTGTTTTGAATTGTTCTGTCATTTTATTAACATGTTAAATTTTTATAAATTTTATTGGACATATTAGAAATAATAGAATGTATCATTTGATTACAACCTAGTGAAAATTATTACTTTTACCACTTGTTTTCCTATTATAACTTGACATTTATTAAACAGCAAGTTCCTCATAAAAAAAAATCCTATATATGAAAACATGAGACAAAAGAATGATAAAATTATATGGTTAGTGTTTCTTAGAACCCATAACTGTCACAAGTACCTGACACAGTGAAAGCATTGTTTTATTTTAATTTTTCAAATACACTTTATAAACAGCATTATTTTTATTAGTTTCAAGTGTACAGATAGTGGTTAGACAATCATATACTTTACAAAGAAGTCCCCCTAATATTTCAAATGTAAACCTTCAATGTACATAGTTATTGCAGTATTATTGACTATATTCCCTATGCTGTACTTTACATGACTGTAACTATTTTGTGACTACCAATTTGTACTTGTTAATCCTTTCACCTTTTTGTCCAGCCTACCAACACTTCACCTTGGCCACCATCAGTCTAATCTCAGTCTCTATTACTCAGTTTCTATCTTATTTGTTCATTTATTTTGCTCTTCAGGTATTTTTCTTACTCTTTCTAACTTATTTTACTTAGTATAAATAATACTCTCTAGGTCCATCCATGCTGTCACAAATGGTAAGATTTCATTATTTTTTTATGCCTGAGTATTATTCCATTGTATATATGTACCACAGCTTTTATGTATATCAGTATAGATGCTTCTTTTTTTTAAATAATTTTTAAATTTTATTTTATTGATTTTTTACAGAGAGGAAGTGAGAGAGATAGAGAGTCAGAAATATCAATGAGAGAGAAACATTGACCAGCCGCCTCCTGCCTTTGACCGGAATCGAACCCGGGACCCTTCAGTCCGTAGACGGACGCTCTATCACTGAGCCAAACCGGTTTCGGCTCTAGATGCTTCTAAGAAAATTAAAAATGGAACTGCCTTATGACCCAGGGATTCCACTTCTGGGTATACACTCGAAGAAACCCAAAATACTTATTCAAAATTACAGCGAAAGAACGATGTTTTCAGTTCAAATAACTCAGGCCACGAACTAAATCAAAACTTGACATCCTTTTTTAGAACTAAAGGTGATTGCCTAGTGTAAATCATATTAGCATCTAGCATGAATTTTAGTTTTACAATTAATATTGTAAAAAGATGTACTTCCTAATTCATCTTTTATTAAAATTATATGTATATATCAATTAGAAAGGTATATACACAGGTAAATATTTAACAATAACCCTGTGCTCATGTTGGTTACACATGTATATATACATACTCATGTACATGTTTTTCCTTCCTACTGTAGTGTGGGACATGATATTTCTCTGTTAATTTATTAATATTTACATACACCCTTCCCAACTGCCTTTTGTATTTCCTTACACCCTAATCTTTTATAACCTAGAAACATAAATATTACTGTGACTTTTAGTCCATGTGATCTATAGATAAAACTCTAGATGATAAATATTTATCTAGAAAGATAAATACTACATGATCTCACTCATTTGTGGAATGTAATGAACAACATAAACTGATGAACAAAAGTAGATCCAGAGACAGAGAAGCATCGAACAGACAGTCAAACTTCAGAGGGAAGTCAGGGGAGGATGCTAGGGTGGGTAAAAGATCAACCAAATGACTTGTATACATGCATATAAGCATAACCAATGGAAACAGACAGTAGCGGGTGAGGACATATGCTGTGGGTAAGGAGCAGGTGGGGAGAGGGCATTAAGGGGAAAAGGAGACATAAGTAATACTTTCAACAGTAAAGTATTTTTAAATACTATATCTGAGGTTCCTTCCAGCTTAAACAAACACACAAAACTATAATTCTGCAAATGTATCCACAAAAATGAAAATTACAAAATAACAACACAGCCAAAACCGGTTTGGCTCAGTGGATAGAGCATGGCCTTGCGGACTGAAAGGTCCCAGGTTCGATTTCAGTCAAGGGCATGTGTCTTGGTTGAGGGCACATCAAGGGGTGTGCAAGAGACAGCTGATCGATGATTCTCTCTCATCGATGTTTCTAACTCTCTATCCCTCTCTCTTCCTCTCTGTAAAAATCAATAAAATATATATTTTTTAAAATAACAACACAAACAGAGATGGGACCTTAGTCAGATCCTCCTTAAATCTTAAGATCACTCTTCTGTAAAACTATATCTTGTAGCATGAGAGAATAGTATATAGGCCTTGCATAGAATTATCTAATAATTATGAATTCTTTAAAACTAGTTAGGAATTTCCAAAATAATTTAGATGTAATCCTTTTTGAAAGGTAGCAATAAATTTTATTTTTTTAATATAGTTTATTGATTTTTACAGAGAGGAAGAGAGAGGGATAGAGAATTAGAAACGTCGATGAGAGAGAATCATGGACCAGCTGTCTCCTGCACACCCCTCACCGGGGATGTGCCCACAACCAATGTACATGCCCTTGACCGGAATCAAACCCGGGACCCTTCAGTCCACAGGCCGACACTCCATCCACTGAGCCAAACCAGTTTCGGCTAAAGCTAGCAATAAATTTTAAATGACCTCAGGTTTTCCTTGCAGTTAAATATTTCCATATTACATCTCCATTCTACCCTAAAGTTGAATTCAATCTTATTTTGTTTGTTTTTTCCACTTTTCATTGTATTTCCTTTATGTAAGTATAGTTGGTATACAACATCATACTAGTTTCAGGTGTATAAATAATAACTAAATATTTATATACCTTATAATGTGATTACCACCTCTCTGAATTTAATAATCATCTGTCACATGACAAACTTATCACAATATTACTGAATATATTACCTTCACCCTTTTCACCCATCTTCCTATCCATTCCCCTCAGGCAAATATCAGTTTGATCTGTTACTATGAGTTTGTTTTTGTTTTGTTTGTTCATTTGTTTTGTTTCTTTAGAGACCACAGATGAGTGAAAATGTAATTTAGAGGATTATGTATTTTAATAATGTAGTTACTCAAATATTGGCAAGTAAAAATTTCACCCATTACATTTACAATATCAGAGCATGTAGATTATACCTCAACAAAATTGTCTTAAAAATTCATGTATAGCCTGGCCAGTATGACACCATTAGTTGGGCATCATCCCATACACCGAAAGATGACAGGTTTGGTTCCTCATCAGGGCACATGTCCAGATTGAGGTCTCAATCTTTGGTAGGTGATGTGCAGGCAGCAATTGATAAATGTTTCTCTCTCACATCAATATGTCTCTATCTCCTTTCCTCTCTAAAAAATAAAAATAAAAATTTCATGTACAAGAGTTTCTGACAGGAAAATGTGTCTTATATTTTGACCTGCTATTATTTTGTTAATAATTGGATTTGTTTATTACTAATGTACCTGAATAAACTTTTTTAATTGACAAAAGATTTTCTCTTTTCCCATTATTCTTTCCTTTAACTCTGAAATGTAGCTTAGTAAGTTAACATGAGTACTTACTTGGCAAGAATCTGCTTCTCCCTCTTCCATTGGCTCATCAAGCATTTTAAGATGATTTACCTGCAAAATATTGTTTGAAAACTTAAGTTCAAGCATACTAGAACAAGAATAATAGTTTTTTTAAAAAAATCTAAACCTAGGCATTTCCCTTCACAATCAAACAAGAGCCATATTTACTAAAGCACAAAAGGACAAAAGATACATGGAAAGTAATTAGAAAAGAAGCATTAATATAGTTTCCATATTGTCATTGAGAAGCCTTAAATTTCAGTGCTATATGTTTCATTTCATATTGTTTAGAGCCTTGCTATGATGAATTAATATAAACTAAACACATGACATGTACTCTCATTAAGACAGTCCCCAACCAAATATTTATAAGACAGGGGTAAAATGCTACAGAATAAATTTAATGTGTGAATATATTCAAAGCAAGTTAGGATGGAAAGAGTTTTAATTAATTACATTGCTATGAATCCCTTTCCTTTAATTCAATTCTATTTACATTTGAGTTACCCTATAGAAAAATAAACTGTAGAAATAAAATGTAAGAGGCTATAGGAAAAATTATTTTAACATACAAAGCTCAGTAGATAATATTTACTCTTCAAACATTACTTCAAGAAAGAGTAAGTGTAAAGGGCTAAAATCAAGAGTCCTCAAACTCTAGCCCATAGGCCAAATGTGGCCTGCTATATGTTTTGTAAATAAAATATTACTGGAACACAGCCACATCAATTTGTTTCCATATTATCTATGGCTGTTTTCTCAATGCAACAGCAGAGTTGAACAGTCTAAAATAGTAATATTTACTATTTGGCACTTTACAGAAAAAGTTTATCAACCACCAATCTAAGATGTTCGAAAATTAAGCAACAGAATGATGATCTAGAAAAAAAATAAATTTCACCAATTCCTATTAATGAGTCCACAGAAAAGTAAAAATTAAAAATAGGAAAGTAAAGAAAATAACCTTTGGTGACAGCCATGATGGAATAATCCTATCTCTCCTATGATTATAAACTGAAGCCTTTAGACAAAACACAAAAGGGAACTACCTAAGTACTCTGAAAATTAAGCAATAACAAGCAGTTTAAGGCGGGAGATCAAAATTTGAAGAATAACTGCAGTGTAGTGAGTTCCTGAGTTTATTTTCCATCTTTAACTCCTGACTTTGATCCAAACAGAGACTGATTCATGGCACTCTACAGTGAGAATAAGCAAAATTTCCAAGAGAAATTCCACTTTCTGAACAGAAGACCAGGAAAAGATGCACTTTTGAGCAGGTGAGCATAAGAATCCCAAATTTTCTTTTTCCCCACTTTTATTTTGACTCCCAGTCCTGCTCCAAGGCAAGCCTCAACCAAGAGAAGACCTATATATCTCTAGTCAGAGAAACCAAAAAGAGGCCTGTATAATAAGAAAAGTATGGAGATAATTACTGTTACTGTTTTATCCTCTCTTTCACTTCACTCCAAGGGTAGCCCCAAAATTTCAGAGTTGTGTGACAGCATGTGATGCTAAGATCCTGAAAGAAACTCACATTTCTGGTCAGAGGAACAATGATAAATGACCCACAGTAACTGGAAAATCCGTAGAAGAAATTATGGGGAGGTTAAAATGGGAGGAGGAAATTCCTTGATTATATGTATGAAGAGACAAGAAGTCTTAGTGCCAACAACTGTATGGTTATATAAATTGTGTTTCATTAAAGCTGATTTTAAAAAATGAATGAGTTTCCAAAATTTGGTGAAATGTATAAATTTACAGTTTAAAGAAGCTCAATGAACACCAAGTTGGAGGTGAAATACAAAAGTCAAACATTACTGGAATGAGAACTATCACAGGCAACTCAAAAGGTGATTTGTTAACTCAGATAACCAACCACTAGTAACCTCAATATTGTAATACCAGGAAAGTAAGTCCAAAGACATAAGAGACTTAAATTCAAAGGCAATTCATTAGTAAAAAATGTTTTCTTATTCATATAGTAAAAATTATTGTAGAAAAACAGTAAATAAAACAAAGAGGAACAAAAAAAGTGGCATAAACACTGGAAATTGCTATCTCCCACACCCCTGTCAAAATGACAACTAAAATAGTTGCAGCTGGTACTTATAGCCAATTGGTCTAGAGGCAAATTCTTCCCAGTGATGCCAACAGTAATCAAAGCTCAACTACAAAAAGACTGAACACATCCCACACAGGTGTGCACATAAAGTGCCCAGCTCAGGTGAATGGGGAGGCTGAACAACTGGGCCCTACAGGACACCATCTAAAAAAAGGGCACTCTACCAATTCCAGGATACATGGCAGCTCCACCTAATATGTAGAAACAAACACAGGAAAGCATCCAAAAATGTAGACACAAACAAACATGTCACAAATGAAAGAACAGAAGAAATCTCCAGTAAAAAAGAACTAAATGGAATTCAAGCAAGAAAACTACTACCGTGTTTCCCCGAAAATAAGACCTAGTGCGTGGAAAGATAAGACATCCCCTAAAAATAAAACCTAGCGCAACTTTGGGAGAAAAAATTAATATAAGACACTGTCTTATTTTCAGGGAAACAGGGTAGATACAGAGTTCAAAACAATGGGTATAAGGTTCCTCAAGAATCTTAGTGAGAACTTCGAGGGACTTAGTAAAACTTTTAAGGATCTTAGTGAGAATTTCAAAGACATGAAAAAGGACCAGTCAAAAATTAAATATTTACCAACTGAAATAAATAATCATTTACAGAGATTCAACAGTGGAATAGAGGATTCTGAAAATGAATCAACAATTTGGAATATGAGAAAGCAAAAAGCACCCAATCGGAAGAACAAAAGAAAAAATAATACAAAAATATGTAGAGTGTAAGGAGCCTACCAACATTTGCATTACAGGGGTGCCAGAAGGGGAAGAGAGAGAGCAGCCTATTAAAAGAAAAAAAAAAAAAGAAAAAAAGAAAAAACACCAGAAAAATGTGTAATAAGTTACTTAACTACTTAAAGAATTAGAAAAAGAACAACAAGAAAAGCATAGAGTAAATAGGAAGGAAATATAAAGATTAAAGCATAAATAAATGACATAGCGATTTTAAAGAATTCTAGATCAATAAAACAAAGAACTGGTTCTTTGAAAGGATAAATAAGACTGATGAACCTCTATCCAGATGCACCAAGAAACAAAGAGAGAGGACCCAAATAAAATTTAAAAAAATCAGAAACAAAAGAGGTGAAGTAACAACGGACCCCTCAGAAATACAAAGTATCATAAAAAACATACTATGAACAACTCTATTCCAATAAACTGGTCAACCTTGATAAAACGGACATATTCCAAGGAAAATATAATCTTCCAAAACTTAATCAGGAAGAATCAGAAAACTTGAATAGGCAGATAACTGCTGATGAAATTGAAGCGGTAATAAAAAATAAAAATAAATAAAAACTTCAAGCACACCAAAGCCTTTATCTGGATGACTTCAAAGGAGTGATTTACCAAACATTCAAAGAAATAAAATCTATCCTTCTCAAATTACTCCAAAAAATCTAAGAGAAAGAAACAGTTGCAAGTTCTCTTCATGAGAACTAGCAATACCATAATTCCCAAACCAGATAAACACTACGAAGAATGAGAATTACAAGCTAATATCCATGATGAACATAGATGGTAACATCCTCAAGGAATGTTTGCAAATGAGATCCAGCCATAAATTAAAAACATCAAACACCATGACCAAGTGGGATTTATTCTGGGGATTCAAGACTGGTACAATATCTGCAAATCAATAAATGTGACGCAGCACATTAACAGATTGCAACACAAAAATCACATGATCATATCAACTGATGCAGAAAAATCATTAAATAAAATCCAACACCCATTTTTTATAAAAATTCTCAGCAAAGTGGGAATAGAGGAATCATATCTCAACATAATAAAAATTTTATATAACAAACCTACAGCCAATATCAGACTCAATGGGCAAACACTAAAACCATTCCCCCTAATAATAGGAACAAGACAGGGATGCCCATTTTCATCATTCTTGTCGACATAGTTCAGGAAGTGCTAGCCATCAGACAAGATGAAGAAATAATAGACATTCAAGTTACAAAGGAGGAAGTAAAATTGTCATTATTCACAGATGGCATAATATTGTACATTGAAAAGCCTAAAGACTCCATCAAAAAAGTACTAGATTTAATTTTTTTAACATGAAAAATTTACTCTTTTATTTTGGGGGGAAAAAAGCTTTTATACTAACAGCATGGGTGGAATTGGAGAGCATTATGCTAAGTGAAATAAGCAAGTCAGGGAAAGAAAAATAACATGATCTCACTCATTTGTGAAGTAAAAAGAACATTATAAACTGATGAACAAAAATAGATACAGAGGCAATAAAGTATCGAACAGACTGTCAAACTAGAGTGGGAAGGCTGGGGCAGGTTGCAGGGGAGGGTAAGAGATCAACGAAGGACTTGTATGTATGCATTTAAGCATAAACAATGGATGCAAGACACTGGGGCGGGGGCTAAAGCATGTGCTGGGGGGTAGAGGAGGCCAGGGAAGGTCAATGGAGACAAAAGGAGACATATGTACTACTATTTGTAATACACTAAACAATAAAATAAAATAAAATTAAAAAATACTAGATTTAATAGATGAATTTGGCAACATAGCAGGATATGAAATTATCACCCAGAAAACTGGCATTTTTAAAAATATATATTTTTGATTTTATACAGAGAGGAAGGGAGAAGGATAGAGAGTTAGAAACATCAATCAGAGAGAGACATCGACCAGCTGCCTCCTGCACACCCCCTACTGGGGATGTGCCGGCAAACAAGGTACATGCCCTTGGCCGGAATCGAACCTGGGACCCTTGTGTCCTCAGGCCGTTGCTCTATCCACTGAGCCAAACCGGTTTCGGCAACTGTGGCATTTTTATACATCAATAATGAACTGTCAGAAAGAGATACTAAAAAAAAAAGAAAAGAAAGAAAATCCCATTTGCCATTGCAACAACAACAACAACAACAAAATAAGATACTTAGGAATAAATTTAACC